ATCCCTATTAACTCGATATTTATGGCAAAATATTAAAGTGGTTGCGTTTTACTACTATTGTCATGACAAAGAATTGCTAGGATAATTTCTCCTTATAAATTCCATCTTAGTGTATTAGGTTGTTCGGAAAGTAATTTCGTTTCTTGACCAACAGAGGAATTTATTGTACTTTTTCATAACCAGCCAACTTCCCAGTTAAGCCGCATAATCATTAATAATTAATTTTTACAAATGATACAGCAAGGCTTGCTTCTGAAATACTTTGATTGATTCTACACAGTAGTTTTTGGTTGTTACCTTTCAAAAATGGATAGCGAAATTCAGCATTTTTAAATTTTTTTTAAACTATCGAAAAGTTTAAAATGCTGCTTAAGGAAGAAAAAAAATTTATCTGATGTATATGGTGAAGATTTATTGACAGTATTCTAGTGCCAAAACTGGTTTGCAAAATTTCGATTCGGTAATTTTGATGATGAAGGTGCACCACGTTCTGTTGAAACTGATGAAAACACATAAAAGGCATTAATTGATGCAAACTGGCCAACTCGTGAGATTAGTAAGAGATAAAATTTATCGAATTCGACCCTTCATGATTATTTATTTGAAACTCCTAGGTTTAATCTCATCAAAGCTCGACATATGGGTTCCTCATGTTCTTATGAAGAGAACTTTGTGTCGTCGCGTTGATGTCTATGATTTGTTTCTCAAACGTCAAGCAAATGAACCATTTTTGAAGCTCAAGGACGAGAAATGGGTAGTCAACAATATTTGTTCCGGTCTCTACAAAAACTTTCAGACGGCAAAACCTTTACTTCAAAAGAGGTCACAGTCACAAGGATAAGTTTTTTGCCAGCAAAGAAGTAAAGTTTTATGAGCGTGGTATCATGCTACTGCTAGAGGGAGGACAAAAGATATTGGACAAGAATAGACAATATACAATGTGAATAAAATAATTATTCACCGTAAGAAAATCTTCTTTCATTTTCATAAAAAAAAAACGAAATTATTGTTCAAACAACCCAATATATTGGTTCACCTTATTTATTTTTTTTCCGGAATGGGTAGGAAGCTCCCAAATGTTCGGTACTCAAGTTCTGTGATTCAGTTCAGTCTTATCTTTGATGATAAACACAAGAAGTGAAAAAAAAATAATTTGAAATTTTTATGCTGCTATAGTTGGCCGAAAAACATTTTTACTTATTTCTTCAATTATGTGTCTTTTATTTTTCATATCGCTATTGTAGTGTAAGAACGGGTAGTAATAAAGAATGGTACTAAAATTTTTTAACTTTATGCATCATCTTATCTTAATTATGCATCTTATTTTGAAATTTTGGAAGGTCACAAGGTCTAGTGGTTTACAATTTTTTTTCCTTAAGAGAATAACTAGCTTGGGACATTACTTATTAATCATAATTTTAAAGAAAAAAATCATGGCTAGATTTTTATTCTGTATGTAGATTCTAAACTCATAGTACCGTCATTCGGGGCTACTTTGTGCAGGATTTCGCAGTTTTTGAACTTTGACATGTAAAAAAACTATGTTAATTCAAACTTTAGTAAGATTTATCGATATTATATTCATAACTGGACTCAGACGAGTGAATTTGATCAATATTGGCATTATTTGTATGTAATATTTACGAATAATAAGTCAAAACATACCTTGCACAAAGTAGCCCCCAAATGGGGCTACTTTGTGCAGCGATAGGAATTCAGTTTAATAATCATGTTTTTAGTAAAATATTGGTATAAAATTGTTAAAAAAGTTAATTGTTGACATTTTTAAAGACAAAAACATCAAGATATGTAAAGATATTAGTTTGAAAATAATTTTCAGCGTTAAAAAACCATTTTTTTTGAAGAATTTTTTCTTAAAAAGAATGTTTATTTCAAAACATTTGAGTTTAAACAAAAGGAAACCATATACATTTTTAAACATTGAAATGGATGAAATTTTAAAAATAATAATTATTACATATTCATTAACATTTATAATATTGTTAAATTTGAACATAACATCCTTGAATGAACATGACAGAACTTGCTCTTCAGTTTCTGTCAAAATCACCTGATGTCCTATAAAATATATTTTTATGTGTTAAATCGTTTGATTAATTCATTAGAAAAATCTTTGTAGAAGAAAAATAATAGTTTACCAGGAAGTTTCACGTGTTTCTTGTGAATTTTATTAGAGATAGTATTTCTGTGGATTTTGTACTTCCGAGAAGCTTCTGCAATCGACATACCACCAGCAACTGCTTGCAAACATTGTTGCAGCTTTTCTAAAGTGTAATCACGGTAGTTTCTCGTTCCAGGTATTTTTTTATAACGTCTGACCATTTTTCTGTCGAAAAAAAAAACGAATGAAACTTTGCACAAAGTAGCCCCAAAGTGCATTTTTTTTCATTTTCCGTTTATTTGTTATTAATTTTCAAATTTTTTTAACGCTAACATGATATAATTGTTTATTAATATATAAATAAAAAATTTTGCACTTACGACAATTGTTTTATCAACGTCTTTGCATTTCACAGCTAAAGTTTCCACGCACACTTTTCGACATCCGACGTCCTCGGAAAGTTGTTGACATTGGATGAACGAAACACACTCTGAGATTGTTTTAAAATTCGAAAAAATGTTTGTAGTAATAGAAGAGACTTCTATCTTCAAATTCCACACATTTTTAACGTGAAATAAACATAATACTAAATAGCAGCACTTGAAAAATGCCAAATTCGAATTTGCACAAAGTAGCCCCCGCTGCACAAAGTAGCCCCGAATGTCGGTACAGAAAAATAGAGCTTTGGAGAGAGCGTATGATATTTACATGATATCTATGCAAAAAAATTCTGATGCTCGAACGCCAGTAACTGTAGTTATCTTCTCCTTTTATTAATCGTTATAACTAACTCCGATTAAGCAATCCACAAAATTGTTAAACGCTCAACTTTCTTTTCAATTAAAATGTTGTTTTTCTACAAAAATGAGTCTTAATTTTGTACTAAATTTTACAAAATTAAAGATGAGTGGCGAATGGGAGAAGTAAACAGATATAGTATTATTAGTAATCGCAGTTTTAAAATTATAAAAAGACTGCTGTGAGAAGCATTGAATACATTAGCAATGATCATTTCATGTAATCAGTTTAAAATTATATGTTTCGGATATTTCGATCAATTTTTATAAACATTCTCTGAAGTTTAAAAAATTACTATATTCATTGTTTCTTTACCCAACTCGTTACATTAATTCAAATTTATTCAAAACTTTGTAGCAAGCACATTTCATGAAGTAATCTTATTCTAAATAATATAATTTAAAAAAAAAAGAAGTTGTTTCGGGGGGTTGGTAATCAAATTTACATTCAATTTTTGCAATTTTCTTTTGAATCGTAGTAGTATTTTATAAAATATATTTTAGGTATATCTAAACTATTTTTCCAATAGTCAAATTTATAGCAGTATTTTATCATATCTTATAAATGTAAATTATTTCTTAGATTGCCTATAACCATTGATTGCTTATAACCATTTAAATAATGCCTATATTTCAAAATATGTTTTACATGCAAAATATCACTCTTATAAGAGCTTTAAAATGCCATTTGAGTTCAGCTCTGTATCTCAGTCACCAACTCTTGTGCCAGTACGCTCTTCAATTTAATTTTCTTTGTCACCACATATTTTTATCCATAGACTGAAAAGATTTTGAATTAAATGAGGTAGCTTCATCCAAAATATCACCATTAATGTTTTATTAACTATTCTAACTTAACATTCTTAATGCTATGAGCTTAATGCTAAATAGGAACAAACAGTACTTATTAAACAAGTTGCTTTTTTAAAAGCTTCATTGTAGTACATATGTATATCATTTTACTAAACGTTTATGGATGTTTGTGAATTATGTTAACAAATGTTTAAGTCTTGAGCAATTTTTTCTACATGTTTTATCATGAAAAATAATTTTGTATGCTACGAAGAAATGATGCTCAAAACTTGTTACTTATGGTCATCATTGTTATTTCCAAGGTTTTTGATAAATTTTCAACAAAACATAAAAGAGGATAAGTTTAAAATGGGTTAGATCTACTTAAAAAGTTTTATTTTATTTTTCACGCTTGAATTTGAGCTTTGCACAGTAAAAGGGAAAAAAAAACCTTTCTTTCGGAAATGTACTAAGAGTTTTCTTCTGTTTATTTTATTTAAAGTGAAATCTTCCTGAAGTGCAAACTGAACACTCTCAGAAAAATAAATTTTAAAAGTGAAAAATTTTAGTTGAGAATTAAAAGTTGAGTCATGCATGCTGTTGAAAAAAATATCTGAAATTAAGACCAATTAATACAGTAAATTGAGAGTCAATATTTTTATACTATTTTCAGTGAGAATAATTAGAAGTCTTGGGGTTATAAAGTGAGAAGACACCTTTTTTGAAAGGTGACATTTTTACATCAAACTGTCCCTTTAGTATTTTATTTCCACCATTGATGCTTTTATAATCAAGAATTTCCACTACGTAACTACTCAAAACAAATAATTATCTTATTTCTTACATAAAAATCATTATGTTCTTCCCCAAATGTTTTCACCAGGGAAATTCGAAAACGTAGTTTATCATTTATTACTCCAAACTATTAAATCGAAAATTTTAAAAGAAGTAAAGTTAATAATGATAAAAATGACTGCAACCAATAATTCTTAACTTTTAAGATGACGAAACATTTGACAATTTGAAATACCAGTAATATATTTTTTGATTTATGGATATCAATCTTTACAAAAAATAGAAAGAATTAAAGTTTAATTTTCATAAATATGATTATACGCAATTTGGTGTCCCGTAATTTTTTATATTTATTAAGCATATTATATAACATTTCATGTTTATCCACTAATTTATATAAAATAATTTTCATGTCTTATGATACTTCTCCATTATTTATTCCAATTTTTTTATTATTAAATTTAAAATTTTCTAATAAAAATGTTCTTTTTCAGGAGAAAAGCCTTTTAAGTGTGAATTCGAAGGTTGTGATCGAAGGTTCGCCAATAGTTCAGATAGAAAAAAACATTCTCATGTCCACACAAGTGACAAGCCTTATAATTGTAAAATTCGAGGTTGTGACAAAAGTTATACACATCCTAGTTCATTACGAAAACATATGAAAGTGCACGGCAAATCGCCGACACCACCCGGTACAACTCCCGGCAGCTGCACGTCAGGTTCCGGCTACGACAGCGATGTTGCAGGCAACTTAACGGCAACGGAGGATACTTTAGCTTCGCCGCCCGCCATCGTTCCACCATCCGCCACCGTCCCACCAATCCACCACCTTCACCACCCCCACCATCATTCAACAAACCTCAGTGAATGGTATATTTGTCAGTCAACTGCTGGCATGCCTACTCCCCCCAGCAACGAACATTCTCCCCTTGCAGGTCACACCTTACACTCCATAACTTCAAGCTTTTAAGTGAATATGTGCTTTAAAGAGCGATAACAATTCTTTTAACGAATTTTATCGTGGCCTTGTGCTTTATTCAATTCTGTCATTCATCACTTTAACCGAATATTATTTATAGTCCGAGTTATTAAAATAAGACATTCAATTTTATCATTTATCAATGGTTTTAAAAACGCTTTCGCTGAACATCTATTTTGTTAAAGATCTTTTCTCTTAATGTTCAAGCATAGTTAAACTACACATTAAAAAAAAATTTAATAAAATTATTTTTAAAATTTTACATAACTAATAATTTAATTATTTATCCCTTTTTAAATAAAGAATTAGAACAATTTTTAATGAAAGGAATTTTATCAGTGATGCATTTCTTAAAAATCGTTTTCACATTGGAAAAATAGGAAGTAAATAATATTTATATTATATAGAAAAAAAATACTATGGAATTTCTGTGTGGTAGATTTAAAGTACACAAGCCAGTTAATGTTAGATTTGTATTTATCAGTGTTTTTAGTTGTTAAAATTAATTATTATGATAATGTGATAAACTATTTTTTACTTATAGTTTTATTTTGCATGTAACGCATAGTAAATATTAATTTGTAAATTTTTTTTTTAAAAAATGTCACATTCTTGTTAATTCTGTCAACAATGTATTGAAACGACTTCGTAATTATTTAGTTTTTAAGTGTTGCATTTTTGTAGGAAAAAAAGCATTTTTATTGTTCTTGAAGTCGACAAAATCAGATTTTCAAACAATACAACAAATTAACAAACTGTATCATTTCTGTTTCCCCCAACGTAATTTAAATGATAGTTCATATGTTATATCATGTGCATGCCTTCATTTCTTCTGAACTTACAAATGAAGACACAAAACTCTTTTCTTATTTTGAAAATAGTTCTTAGCGCATTTGACAATTTAACTGAATTTTATTTATAAAAAGGGCTTGTAATACTTGAAACTTATGATTTGTTATAAATTTTATTGAAATAGTTATTCCGTTTAATTTGTTTTGAAATATTTGCTCTAAATTTTAGTTAAATAAAAGGTTTAATTCAGACAATTTTAACTTTTCCCGTTTGAAATATATAATTTGAAAACTTATTAGATAAGTTGCATTAAGTAAAATAAGAATCAGTACTTTTATGTATCGATTTCCATAGTAATCTTCGTTCGAAAAAATTTTAATACAAATTTTCAGATAACTTTAGTTATATTTTTCATAGAATAAAAAGTTAACATAAGAATATGAATTTGTGCCTCCTTTAGCATTACTTAAAATCTTTAGTTTTAGGTTATACACATTTTTTAAAGTATCATTTAAGATATATAAAAATTAATAAAGCGAAATGAAAGTATTAATGATTTTAACAATAATCTAGTAAGATTTGTAAGAAGACGTAAAACGTAAATCCAAAAGGAAACTTGTCATATATTTTATGAAACAAGAACCAAAGAGTGTGCAAATAATTATATAATTATTTATAATATTAAAGTTTACATTTTACAGTTGGCATTTTTTTTGTTTTGTACAATTTTCATTCTAATAATTATGCTAAAATGTAAAGTTTGATGTGTAACCTTCATAATAGATAATTGTGTACAAGTGTTCTGCTTTTCTTCTGATATGTTAAAAGTATTCAAATGATTTCGTGACGTCATCGAAATGCAAACATTCATTTACAAACAAATTAAGCTGTATATATGTATAAAATCTAATGAGTATTTGTAAATTGTATATAGTACTCAATGTAGTACATAAAACTTATAATTTTTTATGAAAGTGTAGGCAAAAGTGATTAATGTCTTGCACGAAAAATGACTTCTCTATGCCTTAATGCTGAGTGACTTTCTAGTTAATATATTATTTATATTTAAATATTAGTATTTAATTACACTTTTTTGAAAGTAAAAATATTTAAAATATTCCTTAGATTTAGATAGTATTATTTACTTTCATTTTGCTAACTTCGAAAATGTTAAGCTTGAAACTGATAAAAATAAGGTGCTGATTTATAATGCTTTCCATGACGATAACTTGTTACAGCGGATTGTAAAACAAATAAGTTCCTCGGAGTATGTACTAGGTATGATTACTTAATAAAAAGTATTTCTTCGTTGTATGAAGAAATTTATAAATGCAGTCAATAAAAATCGGAACTAAACAAAATTTTTCTAACATAGATATTACCAGTAAATTTAAATCTGACTTAAATTTGCGAGGATTTGAAAAAAAAAATTTTTTTTTCATTAAGTTAAAGTGTAGGTAAATTTCATATGGATCTTTTTCTAAAAACTATTTTTGAAACTGCTATAACAGCAAATTTATTTTCAAAATTTTTAACTTGTTTGTTTTAGTTAATTATTAAATATTTGCTTGATAGCTTTTCATTTAACTATAATAAATTTAAAGAATTATTACTACCTCATTAATTGCTATATCTCTAAAAATATTGGTTTCAAAGCATATTTTTATGAAGACAGTAGATGAAGACAAAATGTGCCTTATATTAAGGAATTTGAAAGCAAATTTTTTTACTTTTATGTATTTTTTAATTTAAACTAAATTTTCTTTTTAAATTTATTCTTAGTATATTTATACTAAACTTGAATTTGATTCATAATTTTAATTAATTCACGCTAATGATATTAACTTTATTTTGAAGCAAAGCAACTATTTAATAGATTTGTAAAAAATAATTTTTAATGCAATATTATAACCAGAAAATGCAACAACAAAAAATATTTTAATTCATTTTTAAATTATAAATGTAACTATTGGTTCAAAAAAAATATTTTTCTGAATGGTAATGAAGGAATATACCACGGAGAATGTTTTTCTAAAATGAAAAATAATAGGATTGATTAATTTGCGCTAGAAAGTCATGAAGCTATATTGCCGTCCAAATGTAAATATAACGCAACCAAAGATTCTAAGCAGGTGGCAGATTTTTGTCATTTTCTGTTACCAAATACGTATTGTAACACTCAAAAAAAAAAAAAAAAAAAAAATTCTGTCTTTATTTTCAATGAAATGTGCTTATTTCTGTTTGTTATCTCTATCTTTTTATCTATAATTTAAATGTATAAATTTATACGTAATATACGAATATAATGATAATTTAATAATTTAATAAAGCAAAATATGAATTTTCCTCAAAAAAAAAAAAAAAAAAGCCGTCAATAATTAATTTCTTCTACCACATTTTCAAGATAATATATCGTAATAATTGGCATTTTACATATGTTTGATGGAGCAATTTTAATAGCATGTTATTTATGTAGACTTTTTAATAATTGTATTCTTTGTATGAAAATAACGTGTTTTAATAATATGATTTTCGAATGAAAAATAAAATTATAGCAAGTTTACAGAGTTAAAACATTCATTATGGAAAAAAAAGTATAAATGCATTGGTGAAATTTTTATTTTGGATGTTGCTTAAAATTCGTATCTAAGAAAATGACCAAAGCTTGAAATATGGGTTAGACAAAGTGTTGAGATAAAGTGGTAAGAAAATGAACGTGGTACAAAGCGTGCCTTTTTAATGTTAATAAACCCTAATTTCTTGCTTGTGTTACGCCTGAAAAAGTTGTGTACCAAATCAATATGAAAATTTGCTTAGTTTTTTTTTTTTAAGGACTACGACGAATCATTTTTCGCAAGTTATATCATTTATATTACAATAGTCTTAATAATAGACAAAGGGTTTATTCATTTCCTTAAATAGCTTTGACCCATATTTTAAAAGGGTAATTTGAGCTCTCTTGATTTTTAATGCACTTCAAGCTATGTCTAATTTTCTATAATATGCATTTTAAGTCCTGTCCACTTTATTAAACACAAATTTTAAGCTATATATCTCCAAAATAAAAATTTCTTTGATGATTTCTTTTGTTTTTATCATTAGAGTAATTCCACGCACTTTTTTGCTGCTAAAAAAACACTAGTGGCGAAATATTAATTAATTTTGCAATTAAATTGAATTTATCTTTGTTTTTAATCCTTATGGATGTTTTAGATTTTCCAGCTACAAAATTTTATAAATTTGAAATGCATTTCCTTGTGGAAATCCACGACCCACATTATATTTCACTGTAGTGTGGGGCAGGACAGATTCTACATATGTTCATTCATATAGAGTACATAAGAAAGTTAAAGAAATATAGTACTTGGAAAACGTTAAATATACAATTACAAAGATAACGTAAAATAAATTTTATTTTGGCATTGCTGAAGTTTTTAATTTTACAGTTCTTTTAATGATCATTTTGATATGCATATATATCTATTTTATAGTGTGGCGTTGCACATGGAATTACTATCTATTATGCTGTAGCTATCCTTGCAATATTCCATGCTGAACCCTTTGACGCAGATGTGACATAGGTGTCTCTTTTATTTGTTTTTTTCCTGACGCTCTAATTACAAGCGAAAATATACTTTGGTATTTTTTAATTATAAAAAACAGTTTAATGATTACTAAAAAAAATCTGTTCGATTATCGGAATTATATTTGTGCTAAAATATAAAATCCGAATAAAAGTAGTGGAATTTTTTTAAAATTAATATTCAAACATTTATCATTAAATAATTTTGCAAATTAAAGAAATTTCAATGATGAACTGTTCCTCTTACATCTAAATAACCACAAATTAAAGCAAATGTAAAAAATTTTTTGGAAGTGAGCCGTGTTTGGACGATTTTACATTTGACCCAGAAAAAACACCGGTATTTCGTTCTGTATTTCATAACCATAATTTTTAAAATGCTAAGTATTATATTTTTCACTTTTATTGACCTGAACTAATACAAAATAATGAAGAAAGTATGAAAAATATGTTTAATCAAATTTTTGCGTCAAAGGGTTAAGGGCAATTTTAGACTTTCATTATCTGTTTGTTTTCTCTTTTCACATGTGTTTAAGACTTTTCCACCTTATTGTTTAAATTTGGTATATAATGCATTTATTATAGTGAAACTACCTCTAATACAGGAAGTGAGTTAAAATATAAAGATATTATTTTATGCCTGAGTTCGATATTTTGTTATTGTTTTTAGTGTTTTGTTTTTTTTCAGAGAAGAGAAAGAACTTTGAAAATTTATTAAAATAGGCATTAATTTTGTATACAATTTAAACATTTTTATTACAGTATCCTGCATCTTAGAATAACTAATTTTTTTAACCCAAACATGTTAGCCAGATAGGCTGTTTATGGTTTCTTAGCATTTTAAATTTTTCTTACGTTTTTAAACATAAATTTATTTACTGCATGACAAATAGTTACTTAATTTAAATTTTATTGCTCCATCCAAGAAATTGTTGAAAATGCTAGGTATCATAAAGAAGTATGCTCTTAAAACCAGAAAACTTTCGATGAAATAAAAACTTTTCAATTTAAAAATAAGTCAAAACTTTAGCTTTTTTTTCAATGCTTGTAATTTTATTTTTTGTCATTAGTACAGTAATAACGGGAGAGAAATAGGTGTTTCTTTTGGAACAGGTAATATTAAGAAAGCTTTGAGAATTTCACAGAAAGCTTTGTTATACCATTATAAATGATACCTAAAAACTCTATTTTGCTCTGTACCTTCCCATTTGTGGGAGGGGGAGAATGGGAGTGATTTAAGGAAGAATTAAATGTTCTCTGTAGAGGAAAGTATTGTTTCCGATATATTTTGTTTCGCTTAGTTGAATGAGACTAAATAAGAGACGATAGAAAATAATGTTTACCAGTTATATTAGTTTTTTGTATAAAAACTACTATTTTCGACTTGTACCATCTATTTTCGCATCTTAAATAACTATCTAGTCGAATGAACTGTTTCGTGTTTATTTTTTTATGCTAAACCGTATGAAGCTAAACACGAGTCAATAAGATTGATAGTTTAAAAGTTGCAAGAGCTTTTATGTGTAATAACTATCTGTTTTAGATAGGTACTTATATACAATTTAACACAGCTATAAAGCAAGTATATATCTACTTGAGTACTTTTTGATGCTAAATCAAATCAAACTAAATCTGAGTAAATAGGTTTAATAGTTCAGAAGAAAAGAACAAATACGTAAAAGTCAAAAATAGTACTTCAAATACACGCAACACCTGCAACTTCTAAATTATTAGTGCTTTTGACCTGGTGAATTTAGCCTCATTCGACTTAACGTAGAACAAAATATACGAAGCAAAACTTTATTAAGCTAAATAACAATTTAAATTGCATGAAAAGTTAAAAAGCTAAACATTATACTTAATGCACATAAAACCAGTATAACGTAATTAACATTAAATTATTATAATATTGTCTCAAATTTGATTATATTAGATTCAGAGTAAAAAGCCCACAAACGATTCACTCGTTTAGATACTAGATAGCAATCTCAAAAGTTGAAATACGAATCACAAATAGTACATTTTATACATGAAAATAACTACACTACATAAATTTAATTATATTGACTTGTATTTACTGTCATTCAATTCAGTACTTAAAATACATAGGAATCAATTCTTTACAATTCTAGATAGCGATTTCAAATGAATAAAGAAGTACAAGTCAAACATAAAGTTTTTGTACACAAGACCATTGTAACTTCTAAACTATTAGTCCTATCTTCTTTCCTTTGATTCATTATATAAAATAAATTGGAAACAAAACCTAATTTTCCTGTGTAAGGGATATTCAATTCCACTCTCAAATCACCCAAATTTCCCCCCAAAAAAGGGAAAGCATTTAAAGGATAATGGGCAAATTTTCAGGTATCATTTGTTAGGATGTAACAAAGCTTCCTATTAAAAACAAAACTTCAGTCATTAATTTTTCTGACAAAGGAGGCTTTTAATGGGCTATTTTTAAATTTGTGACACTTAATTGACAATTTGGAAAGGTAGAGCAAAAGCACTCTACTTAAATTAACAGTAGCGGTTACACTTTATTCAATTATTATGGCCTACTTATTTACCTATTTCTATTTATTTTCTATTCAAAATATTTTAAAATATAGTTTGCTTTAGCTTTTTAATTTTTTTTCATAAACACTCGACCAATAATTCTAGATTGTTGTAATTCAATTATTCTAGGTGTTCTCAGGTATAACTGTTTTTTTTTCCTCCTTTTTAATAATAAATTGAAAAATGAGGCAACTTCATGATACATCATGAAATTGGCCTTTTCAACATCTTAACTAATAGATATGAATGAAGTTACATATTTAAAATGTAATTAATATACAAATAAAACTTGAGATATATTTGTGGTGATAAATTTTAATCAAATTATTTTGTAACTATACTTCAGTGATTTGAAAATTCAGATTGACACATTTT